ACATGAAACGAAAAAATATGTTTCACCTTTGATCTCCTTTAATAAGCATTTAATATTGGTTGGTCGCACAAAAACTTTTTCTCCAAAATAGTTCTGAAACAATGCATTGAAACAATGAAAACGATTACCATAACATTGTATAATGATGCTTGTTCAAAAAGCTTAAATATTTGGCTAGAAATAAGTTAAACGATTGACAAAATAAAATTCTGAGCACTAGTATAAAATAGCTTTGAAAACGTAATTCTACCTCAAAATTTTTGCCAATCGGGTGTTTCAAAGTAAACTTAGCTTAACATGTAAATCCCCCGATAAATTTGATGAGTTTCAACTTGAATTTCCTTTAAAATAAATTGTGTTATTATGTCTGTAAATCGAAAACAAACGATCACTGAAAAAGGGAAATGTGCTGTGCTTGTGTCTGAGGTTTCATTTTCAATGTTGACCATAAAATCGTACCGCCGTGATCAATGAATAACTGAACTCTTTCAAATTTTGGTTGTTTGGTGAAAATCTTTTGTGTGAAAAATATGTCATGTTACACGGTTTAGTACAAATGTTCAAGTCATCGTGACAGTTGATATAAGAATTTATATTCATAACAAAAATGAAAATAATCGAACAAAGACATCACAGTCTAATCATTCCAATCTAAATTGTCACGTGGCTGGTATCGCCTCCTTTTTTTCAATTCACCGCTCGTCGAAGTTACTTGTATAAAAATAACATTCAGTATTCAAGTCTAAAAGAACTCATTTTACGATTTACTTACTGCTGACGGGGCTCCATATTTACTTTACATCATTTTTGAACGGCTACAAAACTGGCGGAGTCGAGATAGGTATTCATCTAACCATCAACCGCATGGTGAATAAAGACCAAAAAATCGGTCCCGGAATATGTTATATTGAGTTCATATCTTATGAATCGGTATGGCAGGTCAAATGTTCCAAATACAAAATACAGCAGTTGTCGTGAACTAAATGTATATGTTGAAATATTGTTTTGAAAATATTATAATTAGAGAAAATTGTAGGCGGTTCTGTTTTGCATTAATTGTTGTGTTAAGAACGTGGTAAATGAACATACATCTGATATTCACTGCGACTTGTGCATTTAAAATTTGATTTTTTCAAAAGAGGACCCGATTGGGTATGTAATCAGATAGTATATGGTAACCTGATTACTTATCAAAAATTATTAATAAATCGGTAATTGTATGTTCCAAAACTTGACAAAAAAGACCAGGAACCTTCAGATAAAATTCATACGAGTGCAGTATAATTGGTTAATACTATATTGTTATAAATATAGGCATATAACCTTGCAAAACATTATTTTCTTTATACACACTCGACCTTATTCTTATTTCTATTAAAGAGCATGGTACGATAATTTAATACAGTGTTATTTCCTGTTTTCTGATCCAACTGTATATGCATTGGGTACCAAATAGACAACTATAACAAGGCAGACACAGCAATAACACTGGTAGACATTTCATATTCTAAACAAGTTTCTTTTGCAAGTTATATAATCCTATCTGACATTTTACTCAACACCATCCTCCATTTAGTTCAAAAAGTACATACACGCCCTAAAGAGACTGCATTTAGAATGCGCTACTCTACGTTTTATTATTGCTACGTGCTTTTGCTTTCTTATAATATGAATCTCAACAAGCTGCCTCTCAATACAGAATACAATTATACAGGAAGCCTTTATTTTTCGCGACACACAGTGATAAGGCAGGTATGTAGACCTACTTTAGCAGACTGATTTCAAACGCTATTTGTCCGTAAAAATTCACCACGAAATCTTTGATCAAATTTTATATGGCCCATAGGCAAACAAGATAAAGAAATTTTTGTTCGACACATTCACCAAGTTTGATTATCGCCTAAAAACAACGCGTACAAAAACAAACGATTTCATGTTTGCTCAAGGTACACAAAAACCGAGCCAAATAAATTCGCTTATGCTCTATCACCCGCGTTGTAAGTGTATGTAAACAACTAAGAAAATGTACCTCTGTTACGAAACAATTGATAACAATGAATTTACTTTGTAGGGAGAATGTATGAATTTCATTTAATAAGTAAGATCAGCATGCAAGCCATGCAACAAAGACCCATAAACTATATGTTGTCCCCTTCGTCACAAATTAATCGCTTGCTCGAGTGGATATGATTTCAGAAATGCCACAGTAGATTTTCATAATCAGCCTGACTCATAAGTATTCCGCTTCGAAGTTTGATAGTATTCAAGGGGAAATTATCTGGTACTCTCGAGGTATGTGTATCAGGTTAGGGTCAGGCCATAATTTTATTCGGATTTTACTTATTTTAGGTTTATTACGAGTTCGGGGGCTGTCTATGTTACCCAAGTGCATATCCCCCTGCCTATAGGTTTCAGTCCCGTTACACAATTTGATGTAAAATAGGCGAACAAAATTAGTTACCTCCATATTGGTACACATACTTTTGGAGCGTCAATTATTTAACGTCGTACGATTCCACTATATCGACGTTACAATAAGTTAAATATGTCATAACTCACATAAATTGTCTATTATATATTAGACAATTGCACAGAGTGCAGAAAAGTTTACTTTTTCAAATAGTTTTCATTGATAAAGTTAATTATTCGGATATGACCACTTTTTAACATTTCTTCGATATCGAAATTTTTGTAATCTAATATATTCTAAGTTATTGTCTTGGTGCCAAAGAATCGCATCCAAACTGGCCTACAATCATAAATAATCAAGAAGAACTTGTAGATGTTGCCAAAGCTTATAATTTCAATGAAGTGTCTTATTTGTTTATTTTATCCTAGTTTAAGGAGAAAAACCACTCATTTTAAACGCCTCTGAACGGAAATACGTATGAATTCCACGGATTAAACGTAGCGAATAAGACCTTCTCACACACAATGGCTTCTTTATTTCGACCCCATTTATCTTGAAATATCTATCTAATCTTTGAAGAATCTACGCCAATGATAAAAATAGATCCAAGTTACTGGCGTTTTTTTATGTAGTTCTACTTTACAACACCGACTACCATCGTTAGTGTTTATAAATTGAAAACCTTTTTTTATTACGGCAAAATAAACCTAATCAAATAGCGAAACACTCCAATTTAAATCAGGTAATGCATTACTCAACCAGGTAATTATTCCGTATGGTCTTGTATCGTGTAGCCAACATATGAACAGTGTGGTGAACCACCCTCTAAGACGGCGATGAAACCATCAATTTTTCTCTAGATATTCGGATTTGCAATTCAACACGGGGTACTTTTAAAACATAAAATATTGAATAATATATTTTTTTTCAATTTGATGAGATATGTCCTGCTCATAATGTATTTAAAGCTCTTATACCCAATTTCATTGACGCAAATTAGATTCGCAACCACAGTAATCACGGAAAAGTGTTGAGTCATATGGTTAGGGTTACGCTATGACTTTGGCCTTTTCAGTACATTTTGCTCACTTCAGTAATGACTGGCCAAATTATCTTAAATTTACTAAACTTCGAATGAACATTACATGACATGAACCGCACTGTAGCAAAAAAGAAAGAAAGGCGTATATAGGGAATCTAAAACAAGAAAAACTAATAATCACTTAAAGAGTACGAAACCATTTTGATGAAACTAACAAAGCTAATTATTATTTTATAACGAAAAGTGGACAGAAGGCAATGAATGAACATAAGAAATACCTTCACATCGACTTTTGACGTCACGATGAGAGCGACAGCATTAGATAGCTTCTTGACCGCCAACATAGTTTTAATCCAGTATGGTATTTGCATGCTGATATTCCCTTGTCACCCTGATGCCAATTAAAAGAACTTTCTCGTTTCGGTTCAGTTGAACAATTTTTTAAAAATGGTCAATTTGGAAGAAGATTGTCCTAATGAACAGGTTTTTCGTGGTATTTGAATTTAGATATCTCGCAGACTGGGTGGTGATTTTAGCTGACGGGTGTTCAATAATGATGTCGGATAATGAGCACTTATTATAGGAAATGCCTTATTGACATATTGCGTTTCTTTTCGTTTTTATTCTATTAAAAGTCTATGTGCAGAGATTGAACATTACTTAACCTAAATTTGAAATAATTTACTCAAATCAATATAGAAGGGTAACGAATCGGACAAAATGGTTTTGGTATCAAAATCCAACTCAACAGAAAATATGACGAAAGTCTGGGAAGAGGATTGGCGGAAAATGAAACCAACGATTTATCTTTGGGTGAATTTTTTTTAATTCAAAATGGAAACTAAAGCTAGTTTGAACTTGAAAATGATCTGGTATTATGAAACGTTTATCCCACTTTTTTTCGTAATTATGCATGGGAACGTATTCCTAAATCGCATTTTCAGCATTTAGTGGTTCGCAAAATGACTATTGAGACATAGTTTGTCCTCATATTTATTTCTCATGAATAAAGTTCCGACCCAGCCCATAGTCTGCAACTGAATGTACGCATGGCGCCACCCAGGATACGGAGAAGTATACAAATGAACCATGAAAATAATTTACCCGCTTACGCGCTCATTAGAAACCGTATTAAGCCTCAAGTAACTCGGATAATTAACTTTTGTTTGTTCAGCGCGCAAAACACAAGCCTTTGATATTGCCGGACCATTTGCCAGAGATGGGTTTTGGAAGGGAATAGAGAGAATAGAACTATCTGCGTATGCACTAAGTATTGATCATATTAGCGAAAGCTAATTTCTGGTGACATGCGCTTTGGGAATATTAAAAAATTTACAGGATTCCCTCCTTACTTCACGACTTTTCCAGCAATGAATAATATTATGCTATTTAATATTAGTCGTTTATTTGGTTCAATCAATTCTAAATCGATTTTTTTAAAACGTTAGTTCCTGTTGCACTGCACACATTCTAGTGAAAAAACGGCGCTCCTGAAGTATGTGTACCAATAAGGAGGTAACAGCCGTTTCAATTATTAAAAATCAATGTATATAAAAACTATCACAAAAATATTCAGTTTCGAAGCGTGTCAAAATGAAAAAAACATATATATAGTAATTTTCAGAAAGCAATAATATAAAAGTATACATAATATATATTTATGAGTTTATTGTAGTAGCATTGTCAAAAGTCAGAATTTGACGAGCACACTTTGTACTGCGTTCGTTAATTATACACACGTTTCAAAATTTAAAAATCAATATAACTCCATAAACGATATGGCAATCATTTTGTGAAAGCCAGGCATACATTGGTATTCATCAACACTTTGAATAAATATTACCATGACGTTTATCGCCTAAAACTCATAAAAGGTAGATTGCAAAATGGCCAGTTAGTAGAAAAACGCACGGTCAATTTTCAAGATTGAAATTCATTATGTTAAAATGTTAAAACACCTAATCTGACCTATTTTAGAAAAAAAAGTCTTGTATTGTCTTCGGATTAGCACAATTTCAATCCATGCGAGTGGTAAATACATATTTAACTTTGAAGCATACTAAAAATTAATGTGTTTTTTTGAAAATTCGTTTTGCGCTTTTACACTGAAAGTGGCAAAAGAATTTTGTGGACTCCATTCAGAAATAATATATGTAAAAAACTTTTATGGAATGGAAAATACATATTATAAACACTAGAATGTTAAAACTATAAATCTGTCAAGTCTTTAGGGTTTATTTTCATTTACTCGTGGAAAGACAAGAAATAAACTGCAATATCACAAATTAATTTTGAAATGAAATCGAAAAAGTCATTCCGTAATACAAAAAACGTCATGCAAATTCCTTTTCGCAAACAAATCGCTGGACTTCAGAGCACGCGAGATCAATAACACCAGACAACCTGATTACTGCGCAGTTTTCTCTTCTGCCGCCGTTTGGTTCTGAGGAATCCCAATATGCACTTGGTGAACCATTTACTCCATCCGACCAAACCCAAGTTCCCTCCATGTTGATGTCGTCCAATCCTATCCATGCATACACCCCGTTTAAATACTGATTCGGAAATATTTCACTGAATGGAAAACAAATTAATAATTACAGACGTTTTTATATTACAATTCGATGCTCATTAAAAACACCAGTTTACTGGAAGAAAAAAGCACCGTACAAATGCAAATGCATAATGTATGCATGTGGAATAATAATTTCAACCTTTTTCAATGCACGTGTCTCTTCAGCTTGTCAAAATTTATCTTCGGAAAACTAATGTACATTCAAATTAGCAAACTTTGATTTGGAACACTAGAAACGAGGAGTGCAGAACTACTAGAGAAAAGTATTGAAGTAACAAATAGCCTTTTGAAAAGCACTCCCATATTTGGCTAATCAAAATTTTTAAAACGATTTTTTCAGTAAGGAAAATATATTTTACTTACTGAAAAAAGCATTGTGGGTCCAGTAAATCTACGTGCTTTCCTTTTTTTAAAAACATATAATATGTCACTGATGGTGTAACATTTTATAATGTATTCACAGATAACTTAAATCCACACTATTTTCCATAAAAGGCAAGGTTTTGGAAAATCCCAACGAAATATGCTCAAGTTTCTCACACAAGCCACCTACCGACCTTTTATTTTGGTTGTTCCTAATTCCGGTCGATACCAAACGAGCTCCCATTCCTTCACAGTGAGCCTTTGCAGTTGCGTAGTTGACAGAATCAGTGAAGCGTTTGTAAATGAGATTATTGCTCGCTCTGAACCATCCGGATATCGAAAACATTTGAGTAATTCTCGAATTTGTATCAGATAGGCTTCTATTCTATAAAATGAAATTACGCATGAATAATACTGGGATATTTTGACCTAAATTTTCCAACTATAAAATGTAAAAAAATTATAAGCAAGCATTTTGTTTAATTAAGTTCTATTTGGAATGTGGTTATTTGAGCCGTTCTTGGGTACAACAATAAATTTTATAACTCCTCAGTAATAAAAGTAGATATTCATAAAACGTAGCACATATAAATTGAGTTGAATTAATGTTGCCACGTGATTATAAGTCATTTTATTTTCATAATAAAACACGTCATGTTATGAGTCACAAACTCACCAATTTATTATCTCCGTTGTGTATTTTGGAGTTCAGCTCACTCACTTCTGTTTTAATTGAAGTTTCCAACTCACTTTTTGTTTTCAAAGAACCTGAAATTTTAATTCAAATATCTAAAAAATAGCAAAAGCATAGAAATTCTCGATCTGACTTCATGAAATAGGATATTCTACAAAATTTTTCAACATAACATATTGTATTCTTTTGCGTCTGTTGCTGCGAGCGTTTGCGAAATTCTTGAAACAAATTACCATGCTTAATTCATTTGCTCATTTGATTATATTTTTCGCTTTACTGTGTTCAAGCACTTGAGGCGAATAAATGATGCGCAATTTTAAAAATTTATATTTAAATTTTTATTATATTCATATTATAATAAATTATAATAATTATAATATTAATATCAACTCATTTTGTTGTCTTTCATTTGAAATCTTCACAAGGGACGACTTGACATCCATTTCCAGCTTTTCAAGAGCTTCGACTCGTTCTTAAGTTTTTAAATAAAACTCCAACATCGATCGATGATTTACTTGGCGCTTCGAAAATATTTTGAAGATCTTACGTTTTTGAGTGTCGTTGATATTGTTGGCCAGAGATGAATCAGTCTCACTCATTCTCTCTAATCTTTCCTTCGTATATTTTATCTCGTTTTGAAGCTTAAAATAAATTTAGAAATGCAAATAAATGAAGAATTCAAAAGTGGAGAACAAATAGCATCTTCAATACTATATGTTTTATTAATTTATCGCGCTGTAGTGAGCTTAATTTAATTTCAGTGACAAATAAACATCGAAAATACACGATGTCGATACTAACTTGCATAATCAGGATAAATGCAGCAACAGACACTAAGAGGGAGATTCCCAAAGATATAGCAAGAACAATCCAAGTTTTCTTATTTGTGCCATCATTGTTCTCTATAAAATAACGAATATATGTGAGATTTCAATTATGGAATGTCGTAAGAGAAAACACAATATAGAATAATACTCGTGTCATACTTGACCCGAATGAATCAATTCAATAGTTATTTTTTATGTGTTTACATATTCTATCTAGTTTTACTATGTAATTTAACAAATAAATCTTGGGTACGTCAAATAAAACACAAACCTTGTTTAGGAATCGCAGGTGGCCCAGAAGCAGACTGGGGGGCTTCATCTATTTTTTGCCTATGAAAATTTTCATAGCATTCCATCTTTATAGTAACGTGTTCTAAAATGTTCTGCCGATAGCCGTTTTATAGAGAATTAGCAGCTAACCTTAATTAATCAGCTAACATTTCACGTCAAATGAAATCCTTATCAACGTGCTATTATTATTCCGATGCTATTATTATCAGAGGGTGGCAAAACCCTGATGACACAAAACAACATACCCTCGGTTATGTGACAGTACATACGTCAAATTACATTATTTGTTTTGAATCATACCTTGAGGTGTAATATCAATTATGTAAATTTTAGATAAATAACACAACATCAAATGTGGGCCAGGAAAAAACAGAACCAGTGACAGTATATGTGACGCATTATTTCTTTGATATTTGAATGAATACGTATTTTGAAATAGCCAATGCCTTATGTATATTGTGATTACAAATATGAATGAATATCGATTTAGCATACATTTTTTCAATTCTATTTTTATGAATATTTTATATAATTATTATTTAGAACTGCATATGGGATGGCAATGTGACGTGCTTGTTATGCAAACCTCAATTGCTTCAATACACGTCAATCACAGTTCAAACCCACCGGTCAGGTTTGGGTCACTGCAAGCAATTATTGAATATTTCTAATTTCATTCTTCGTGCGTGGTATCATGTGTCAAACGTTTTGACCTAAACGTTTTCCGGTATTTACGATTATCAATCTTATTAAATTCATCTTCGAATCTATTGCTATTTATACCAATAGATCTCCTCTACACGTTTGATTTGTTATAAATTACTTGAGCAAAATTTATCTGATGCTTTCCATGTTATGCATGAGGCTTCTCTATTACTGCATTTTTATATCAAGTACGTCACGTAGTCAATCCGCACACATCTAAATGTAAATATATTATAATGTGAAATATAAATTAAAAAATCAAGGTATTAAGGAAGTAATGTGTCACATATTCGGCAACTAGTTTTTATGGCTTACCGCAAAATGGTTGTTTCGTCTCCCACATTTGGCGGATTTTTATGGATTTACAGAATCATTAATGCACCTTAAGCTATAATTCAAACCAAATAAAGTTTTCAGTTAATTTGACACATGCACGGCCATATAACTAAAAGTATATGTTGTTTAATGTCATTATTATGGTTTCGTCTCCCACTGATAATAAAACCAAAAATATTTTTCTCGTGATTTTACTTAATGTTTGCGTGTACAGCTGACTAATTCTAATGAGATGTTGTAATCCTCTATGAATTGGTTATCGGAAGCAATACTTCGTTCAGTTAGAGAGCAGATCATTCTATAAAGCATTAACATGGAGATGGAATGCATTTGAAATCCCTCAGAATGCTTCAGGTCCACCTGCAGTTCCTAAACAAGGTTTGTGTTTTATTTGATTAAATAATTTAAATTCTGATTTGTACTAAAACAATAGAAATTAAAAAATGGGATACAAGGGTAAACAGGCATGATTAAACGTCTCCGGCTTTTAAAAATGCGAATATCATATATATCCATAAGAAATTATCTATTTTACAGCAATGCCGTAACAAAATTTAATTGCCCTATTCTTACGTACAATAAATATGAATCATTTTTTTTGCATCATGAAATTTTTTTTTGAAATGCCTCTTATCCACGTTTTCTTTTCACAAACAACAATAAAGCTACGAACAAGAAAACATTGTTTGTTGTGGCGATATCTTTCGGAATCTGCTTTTTATTGTCTATTGCTGCATGCATCCTGATTATGCAAGTTAGTTAGTACTAAAAATTAAACTAAGTCTAATGTTCTATATATTAAAATTAAATAAAAATATGCATATTGTACGAAAAGTTTTTTTTTTCTAAATTTGTTGTAATTCGTTTATGTGAAATATTCATACAATATAAATGACACTCAAAAACGTAAGATATATTGAATTCAGTCAAAACATGCCAATTGTATATCAGCATAATTTTTTTTTTTTTTAATTTGAGAACAAATGGGAACTTTTGAAAAATAGACAACACAGTTCGATTCGTCCCTCGCAAAGATTTCGAATGAAACACAAAAGAGTAAATTTATATTAAAACCTTCAGACCGCTCAAATCCCTGCCCATTTTATGGGTATTTTTAAACTTATTTTTTTTTGTCAACCATTAGGCCCTAAAGCTTTACTCATGGCTTTTAAAAGCGTCTGCTAGAGTTCTATTCAGCAATATATCTTTAAAACACACTCCTATAATAATATTTTTTTTTAATTTTGAAAATTTCTAATAAAAATCTTTATCTTTGAGATATTCTGTGTACAGTAATTCCTAATTAATTAATTTTTTCTTCAACGTTTTCGTCAAGTTTTTCCTAACATAACAATACCGAAACGACTATTATAGCGTAAATGGTTATTACTCTGAAATTCACAATTGTATTTACAGTATTATCAAGTTCAAGGTCCGATTACCGATTTTGATGACGTCACAGCTCTTATTATTACCGCACAGACCACCCCCAATGCAAAAAAATTAATTTTTTTCGACGGGAATGCGCGTAGAACGACGTAAACAATCCCATACGCGCATTTACGCGTTAAAATTACCATTAATTTTACGTTTTATTTACATACAAAAAATCTCCATACCTCAGCCAACTATGGAGCAGTCGAAATAATATTTATCAAAAAAACACAGCGTCAGGGATGGTATGTATGACTGAAAATACATGCTAAACCAATAATAAGTCGTTATAAAGGAGTATTTCCTGTCTGAGCTGAGTTGACATTTTCAGACGTCTTACAGGAGATTTTGAAATCCACGCTATTTATACGTCTCGCACTTTGCGTCACGGCTGGAAAGTTTTATCGCTTCTCTCATATCAGGGCATTAGGTCAATAAACAGCTAAGAGCGATATTAACAGTAGGTTACCATGCACTATAGCGTTGGACAGCCCATATGGGCTCACGAGCGGCGAACGGGAGATATGTTAATAACTAGGCATCGCACTTCAAAAGCTGGTGAACGACACTCAGGAACGTATGTTATTTAAAATTTCCATGGTAGGTCAATGCAGTTTAACATTTGATTTAAAACTTATAGATAGTCGAGAAATTTAAAAAAATAGCTACGCAATTCAATTCCTTCATCCCCAAAAGTTGCAAGAAAACACAAAAGAGTATGTGCATATTTTAGATATTTGAACTTTGCATCGAGTTTTTGTTTTATCAGCTTCGCTTTATCAGGTTAGACATAGTTTATCGAAGTAAAAACCATACATGAAATCTAAAAACGATATAAATGATAAAGTAGGCTAGTCACCTGACTTCTTTGACGCCTTAGAATCAAAGTTAGTTATATTAAAAGTCTCTAGATCCAAAAATGTGATTAGTTGCCTAATTTAATGTTTTTGAATAAATTTTCAACTTCTTCAAGTATAAAATATGAGTTGGAAGATTTGAGGAATGAAGTGAGCCAACTTGATTCCAAAATATTGATTGAAGATAACCTGGTAATAAATTGGTTATACGCTACTGCAAAAGCTCAATGTGAAGGATCGGGAGCTCGTTTGATATCAACTGGGATGAGAAACAACCAAGTAAAAAGTAAGCGGATTATGTGAGACGTTAACATAATATGAAACAATTACGGGAATTTTTTTTATCATCGATTTTGTCTCCATGATCAACCTCTTTGGATATCGCCAGTAGAAGGTTCTTATAAACTGGTATTTCTAAACGCAATTGGTCTGAATAGGAAACTAACCCAAAAATAATAATTGATGTGATAATTTCACTACAAAAAATAACACGATGTGTAATATTTTCTTTTCCACCCAGCGAAATATTTCCGAAACATTACTTAACCGAAGCTTTTTCGTTTGGGTTTGGGATCCCTTTTTTAAATTTTTTTTATTAAGATAATATGAAACAACTACGTAAAATATTTGGTCATCGATTTTGGCTCGATTGTCAATCTCTCTCTCTAAAATTAAATATTCCTATCAACTGGAATTTATAGTTGGTCTGAAAGAAAAAAAATTAATTTATAAAAAATAATCGGTATGGTAACTCCAACACAAAAAACTCTAATAATTCGTAATGTATTATTTTCTTTTTTCAGTGAAATATTTCCGAAACAATATCTAACCGGAGCTTCTTCATGGATTGGATTGGACGACATCAGCAATGAAGGAATTTGGGTTTGGTCGGATGGCGTAAATGAAACGCCAAGTGTAATATGGGCACCGGGGGAACCAAACGGCGGTAGGACTGAAAACTGCGCAGAAGTAACCTATAATTCAATAATTGTTGCTAATGATGCCCGTTGTTCAAATGTCCACCGATTTGTTTGCGAAAGGGAACTTGAAAGATGTTGACTTTTTCGATGAAATTTCTTTTCACAAAACATTGCTTGATTGTTTTTTCAAGTATTATTCAATACTGAGATTTGATTTATTGTCTCTGTGAAGATAAGGAAAATTGAAGCCATTAAACTTGTGAAGTTGTTTTTCTTTTATTTGAATGTTCACGTATTATTTTTTTCTTTTTATTATTTTTTTTCAATATTATTATCTTCGACTAATGCTATTAAATCATACTTTTGTCATTTTATTATTGACAGGCAACATCGATATTGCATATTAAAAGAGTTTAGTTAAATTGTTAAAAACATGCTTTAACTTGCCTATGAAGATTCGAATCTAAAATGAACAATTACCGATGAAAATTTAAATGAAGTTCCGCAACGAACTGTCTATTTCGCATTCTACATTTCATTCAATAATGCATTCGACAATTGATGCTTGTGACAAACGCCATCATGATGTTTAAATAAGTTTTGCTTCAGATTAACAAAACATCATTGTTTTAAATTGAGTTTATATTAGCACCAAATGTTCATCGAAGATTGCACGTCAAACCTTAAGTTTTGACAAATGCTAACATAAACAAAACTTACTATTTTTTCCTTTTTTACCCTTTTTCGCTTTGAAACTGAATATATTTAGTGTTTTCAGTTTTTTATCCTTAATGCATTTGAATAACTTTTCTAACACAAAAAATAAAATCCCAAGTTATAAAAATAATTTAAGATCGTTCCCAACTAAGATCAAACTGGTCCCTTTCCTGGAAAATTAAAATTTCTGAGAGGGAAAGTAATAAAATGAATTAAGTAAATATAGTTTGAGTTTGACCTACGTGTTTAGAAAAACTGTTAAGTTTAATTGTTAAAATTTATTTACTAATATATTACGAAGGTGTTACGAACTTATTAATGCACACATACCTACCTATTTTAAACGCTGGGATAATGAAAGTAACGTAAACCTTAAAATGTTGACACTCTCAATTGATGGGACTTAGGTTTTCATCTTTAGTATTACTTTTTAATTCTTCTAGCGTTTTTTATTTCTTTATTTTACTCCACGCGGTTGAAAGTGTTACAGTTGATAATAATGAATTTTATTGACATCGTTTTGCTTCTGGCTTTCAATAAGACTCTGGATTATGCAGTTGAAAGATTTTATTAGATTTCAAACGTTTTGGAATAGTCAAACAGGTTTTTGATTTATTTATATTGTTAAAGGTAAAAAATATTGAATGATGCTTTTAATAAAAAATAATCAATGCCGAGTGTTCCACAAAGAATATCATTCCTGATTCAAATAGGACTACATTTTTTATCGAGATTTAATGGAATATCGAAAAACTGCTACCAAAATTAGTAAATTTACTAAAAAAACCTGGCTTATCTTGACGCAATGAGATTACGTCGCAATGCCGCATTCGATCCATATCACATGTACATTGCTCTCCCATGCTACACATTTGCTCTAGTCATGACAGAACAAGTTGAAAATCCCATTATGAAAATATTTCACATAGGTTATATGAATACAAAATTTATTCAACGTTTGCATAAATATTCCAAAACTAAACTGTCCGAAAAATACTCATCACACCAATGAAAAATTAATTAATTAATATAAATGAAACCAATTTTTTGAGTCCTGCGTACATCTCCAAGTGCTAGAAGCAAAAATATTCCATGAAAATTTATCGCTTAGATGTGAAAGATTTTACTTTTTGGAGTAAAATTAGCAAATCACTGTAAGTTAAAATTCTAAATGTAAATTAAAATAGAAAAACCTATCAAATAAAAGCTCTAATTTTTCTGACGTTTACAATTTTTTATCACAATTCATCATAATACTATGCTAGTGTTTTGTTTTCATATTCAAGGAGAAATCATGAAATTGTTACAGCTGTTTCAAATATTGAAAATCAATGTATGTAAAAAGTTTCACAAAATTATTAAGTTTCAAAGCGTGTCAAAATGAAAAAATATATAGTTATTTGCAGAAAATAATAATACAAAAGTATACATAAAATATATTTATAAGTTTATTCTATTAGCATTGTCCGAAGTTTTATCGTGCAGACCTTGAAGAGCGTTCGATGATTATACACACGTTTCAAAGTTCAAAAATTAATATAACTCAATAAAGGACATGACAATCATTTTGTGAAAGGTATTTCATGTAAATGGACACAATATGATTTTCATTAACACTTTGGGTAAATATCACCATAGCGTTTATCGCCTGAAAGCATCATAATATGAAATGTAGATTTTAAAATACCCAGTTTGTAGCGTAACTAACGGCCAATTTCCATGATTGATTAAAGAAATAAAGTTCATATTGATAAAATGTTAAAACACCTAACCTAATTGAGAAAAAAATTTCAATCCATGCGAGTGGTAAATACATATTTAAATTTGAAGCATCGTTTAACTTGATGTGTATTTTGAATTTTCATTTTGCGCTTTTACAGTGGAGGTAACGAGAGAATAATTTTGTGGTCTCAAACTAGAAATAATAAATTTGAAAAGCATTCATGAGACGAAAAATGAAAATTATGAACAATAGAATGTTGAAACAATAAGTTGAATCGACTCAATAGCGTTTATATTTCTTTACTCATAAACAGACGATAGGTCACATCGCAATATGAAACAATTTTTTCAAAATAAAAACGAGCTACATGTTAATGAAACGATTGTTTATAAAAAACACGCAAATTCCTTCTCGCAAACAAATCGACAGTTTTGGGAACAATTCAGATCAGCAACCACAATTTTAGAATTTGAAATTAATATGATTGCACAGTTTTCGCTTCTACCTCCCTTCGGTTCTCCTGTTCAACATATTGCGCTTGGTGAATCGTTCATTCCATCTGACCAAACCCAAATTCCTTCATTGTTAATGTCGTCCAATCCTATCCATGCATACGCTCCGGTTAAGTAATGTTTCGGAAATATTTCACTAAGAAGATGCAGAATTATAAATCACTTACAGTAAGAGCTTCATTTTTATAGCTTTATAGCTTCATATAGTACGTTCCATGCTAATGAAAGATTAATTTGAACTCGTGTCAAAATAGGTGCATACCGCCCAAAACTAATAAGTGGAAACTCACAAAAGAAACAAACAAAATATGTACTTTTTTTTTTTTTTTTTAAATACATCCACGGAATCAACTGGCTTACTTTTTGACTTGATTGTTCCTAATTCCAGTTGAAACCAAACGAGCTCCCATTCCTTCACATTGAGCCTTTGCAGTTGCGTAGTTGACAGAATCAGTGGAACGTTTGTAAATGAGATTATTGCTTGCTCTGAACCATCCGGAAAACATATTGTTTATCCTCAAGCTTGCTTCAGTCAGGTTTTCTTTCTGTAAAGCAAACTAATTTTAAGTAATTCTAAATCTGAAATATTGTGAGTTTAAGTGGTACGGTATGATTAGATGCATTTATTGTACAAAAATAATATTCATACACTTCCAGAATTGATAATAAGTAATATATAGATGGGCAAATATATTTGGTCTCTCTTGCCCAAACTCACCAATTTGTTATCTCCAATGAAAATTTTAGAGTCGAGTTAGCTCACTTCATTCTTCATATTTTTAACTCATGTTTTATAAATGAAAAAGCTGAAAATTTATTTGAAAAGAAAAAATTAGGTAATGGGGCATATTTTTAGATCTTAGGTAATAAGATGTTCTCCCAGCATTTGATTATATTAGACTTTGATTCCGATGTGTCAAATGTCCAATTTTTTTTATCTGTCGCGATATTCTAATTTTATGTAACTGAACTTGATAACGCATTGACACGATGCATGAAATCTTTGCGATGGAAGATTTATTCTTAAATTGAAATTTTTTGTCACTGCGATAAACTGTGCCAAACTTGATAAAGGAATAACGCGATACATAATTCAAAATAATAATAATATAAACTTACCATTTTGTATTTCATTTGATTTCTTTGCAAGGTGAGAGTTGAATTCCGTTGTCAGTGTTTCAATGGCTTTAACTTGTTCTTAAATTGAATCATTTTTTTTTTCACCGCTATAAACTGTGCTAAACTTGATAAAGCAATTGGCGATACATATTTCAAATTAATATTAATATAAACTTACTCTTTTGTGTTCCACTTGAAATCCTTGCGAGGGAAGATTTGAACTGCGTTGACAAATTTTCAAAAGTTTCCACTTGTTCTTAAATTTAAAAAATATTATTACGCTGATATACAATCGGCATGTTTCGACTGAAATCAATATATCATACGTTTCTGAGTGTCGTTTATATTGCTAGCGAGAGATGATCCAATATCACTCATATTGTCCAATTTTTCTCTCATAAGATTCATCTCTCTTTGAAGCTTAAAATAAATTTGAATATTTCAAATAAATGGATTACTACAAAAGTAGGAAACAAAAAACTTTTTGTACAATACTTGATTTTATTATACAGTATAGATAGAACATTAGGCCAAATTTAATTCCCGGTACTAACTAACTTGCATAATCAGGATAAATGCAGCAATAGACACAATGAAGCATATTCCAAAAGCTATCGCGACAACAAACAAATTTTTATTGTTCGTAGCTTTATTGTTGTCTGTGAAAAAAAAAACGTGGATGAAATGAATTTATTAAAGAGATTGCAAGCGGTAAAAAAAATACTCATTTTTTATTCTACGTAAAAATAGGGAAATTAAAATTTGTTACGGCATTGCTGTAAAATAAGTGAATTCATATGGAAAATATGATATTTGAAAACTTGAAAGCCGGAGAAGTTTAACCATGCATGTTTACTCTTTATAAACTATTTTTCTTTTCTCTTGTTCATCATAAATTAGAATTTAAGGTAATCGAATAAAACACAAACCTTGTTTAGGAACTGCTGGTGGCCCTGAAGCAGTGTGAGAGATTACATATGCATTTTCACTTTGACCATTTACATGAAATTCCATTTCCATGTTAACGCTTTATAAAATGCTTTTAACTGAACAAAATGTTGCTACCGATAACCATTTTATAGACTACAACATCTTATTAGAAATAGTCAACTGTACAGGCAAACATTATAATGGATCACGCAAAAAATATTTTTGGTAATATTATCAGTGGGAGACGAAACCATAATAATGACAGTGAACAATGTATATTCTTAGTCATATGGCCGTGCATATATCAAACTAACTGAAAACTTTAATTGTTTTGAATTATAGCCTGAGTTGCAATAATGATTCTGTAAATCCGCATTATTAATGCGTCAAAGGTGGGAGACGAAACAACTATTTTGCGAAAAGCAATAAAAACTGGTTACCGAATATGTGACACATTACTTCCTTGATACTCGAGCTAAAAAATGTTTTTAAAGGGCCACTGCTCGCCTGAAGAATATCATGATATAAATAAGAATAGATCAGAATTTTCACGTCATATTCCACATTATAAGATATTTTATCTTTAGACGTGTCCGGATTGACTATGTGACGTACTTGATAGGAAAACCTAATTTTGCTTCAATATACGTCAATCATATTTCAATCCTATCATTTTCCTGCTAGTAAAATCATAAATTCTGTTTGAGCTATGCTGAGTTATTCAAGTTTCTTAACAGTATTTAAATCATCCTGTGCTAGATTACTCTTTGGCCCTACACGACATCGACTACCACGTTCCGATTGTTAATTGGTTGGGAATGCTTGATATAACAATTCCCGATATCTGGCGAGGTGGCAAAGAATGTGATTTTTTCAAATATCATATAAAATCCGGAGTGCAATGTACATAAAATTCCCGTGGAGTATTTTATTTTACAAATAAATTCCTGATTATATCATAAAGATCATAGTGTGATAGTTATATATTTAAAATATAAGTATCATTTTGTCACAACACTAATGACATTCTTCGTCATTTCGTCTGAAAATATGGGGTAACCAGTATGCTTGAAATGTGATTGGCGTGTATTGAATCAATTGAGGTTTGCATATCAAGAACGTAAGTCCGTCACACGTATATGCTAACCTAACATATGCTAAACCGATATTCATTCATATTTGTAATCACTATACACACACGACATTGGTTATTTCATAACACGTACTCGAAGAAGTAATGTGTCACATATACTCTCGCTGGTTCTGTTCTTTCATGGCCCACATTTGATGTTGTGTTATTTATCTGGAATTTACATAATCGAGAGAGAATACATCGTGAGGTATAATTCAAAACAGATATTGTAATTTGACGTATGCATGACCAGATAACCAATATTATATATTGTATAATATTGCGTATATATTGTTTTGTGTGATAAGGGTTTCGCCACCCACTGATAATAATAATATCGCAATTATGTTGATAAATTTTATTTAACTTGAAATGTTAGCTGAATAATTAATGTTAGAGTCTAATTCTCTATAAAACCGATAGCGGCACCAAGACGTTGCGTTTGAGATGCAGAACATTTTATAAAGCTGTAATATGGAAATGGAATCTTATTCAAATTGACAGAGTCAAAATGTGTATGAATTCTCTCAGAATGATGCTAAACCACCACCTACTATTCCTCAACAAGATTTGTTGTTTATTTGACTTACCAAAAAATTAAATTTGTTTAATTAAAATAATAAAACTAGACATAATTAAACACTAATGTTAACACTAATGTTACTATATTTATAAAGGTTGTTGTTAATATGGAAAAAATAGATTTTTTCTATTACAAAGATTTTTTGAGTGCCCAATGATGGAAATGCTTCCCAAAAACCGAATAATACTCAATGCTTTTCTGTGGTAATTTTATACTCCTTGTGTATAAAGTTTCAATTTGATTTTGGCAAGATGAAAGGACGCGTACATAGAAACAACTTAAAATTAATATTCCATGAATAACAGTTTGTCTGTGTATTGGTATGGTGCTCTTTTGTTTAACTAAAGCCCTTTATTTCCGCTGGTCCAAATCGACTTTTTATACCCCTTTTATAATATGACATAAATAGTTAATCAAACACGCTAGTAACTATTGCAATATCTCTTTAAAAAGCCGCCCGAAACCCGCCCGAATTACGTAGCGCAAACGCGTCCGACCATACGCCGGTAAGAATGGAGAAATTGCAAAAATTTTTGGGAAAAGTTTTCTCATTTTCCGGAGAACGTTGCTCGCGCGTTCAAAATTCGCTTTCAAATAACAACAGGTTCTTTGTTTATTTTTAAGCTTTGAAATACTCATACAAATAAAATTGACCTTGTAGTAAAATAAAAATTATACATCAAAAAAAAAATAATAATGACGTCACCGTGGTTAAGAACACTCGGATCAATCATGGATTATAGTTGGATGCTTAAAATGATAACATGTTAGTGCCGACAGAATTGAAATACTTTAGACATAGCATAAGCCTGAAAATAACATATAATTGACAAATCATATCCAAAATTAATAAATTTTCCAGGATCCTGGGGTATCGGAGAAAAAGGGTTGTAATCTGTATACTTTTTATTGTTTAGTGCAGCTGCTGATATATTTTTTATGATATACAATTGAATATTTGGGTAGCAGGGATTTTAATATGCAATGTGTGACGGGACTGAAATTTTTGCGGTATTTTGTTTGTTTGTTTTACCTCCGGGTCTTATGCGGAGTCAGAGCCGTGTTTGGGTTATCATATTTACTAATGGGCCATCGTTGACTATTCTTGGCTGGCTCCGGGCACCTCTGAGCACCACCTCCAAGATCCAACGTGTGTTTATTATTATGTATTTTATACGTTCAGTCGTACATTTCCGCGAGATAATAATGTTTCATGCTTGCGTCCTATGCGTCCAAAATGTAGTATATTGTCTATTATTGCAACTTGTTTGCAATTTTTGTCAGTTTATAAATAAATAAAAGTTATTGTAATAATATGAATGTGAACTTTTCCATTGTTTTTTCGAAGTTTACATCACTATTTTATCATTTTTATAATCATTTTATCATATTCTTGTCAATTTCACTATTGACACACAAAATGAAACTCGGTTTCACTCGTAATAAAAACTGAGCTACGCCCTTGAAAATATTTTCGATCGAAAAAATAAATTGATAAATTTTTGAATTTGGACTTGTGCGCGTTGCCGCATTGAAAACAATTTGAAGTGTTGGTATTGAAATACGACTTTCATAATGTAATGTACTATACTGTTTTACACTTATAAATAAATGAAACAGGCCTACTTTTAATCATTTTGATAAAAATTTTATAAGAAAAGAAATATGGGCCCTCATATTCTCTAGAATATTCATGTTTTCATTTGAATTTATAATATCTCTTGGAGTGTTTCATTAGTTTTACTTCAATAAGTTGACTATTTTACTATTGATAAATAAATGTTATTAAAATTTATTACTATATCAATTGTAAATTAATAACAGATTAACAAAACTTGAAGCTTAGCAAACGCAATCAAACTCCTACTTATATTTCAACTATCGCCCCATAATTATAAATAGCATATTTTCTAAGGGCTATTATGCTACTATGCTGTTTTTTTGTACATAGCATTTCGACTTTGTTGAAATTAATTTGAAAAAATGGTAATACCCATCAAAAATGACTTTGCCAGAAAACATTGGTACTGATTCTCAACAGGCATTAACATTTGGAGTTGAGTAGGCTAAAATGATTTAATAATTGTACTAGCTCACGTATACCACGCACGGTGAGTGAAATTCAAATGTTTATTTTCTCGCTGTGACCCGAATCTAACCGGTACCTGAACCTAACGGTGATTGACGTTTATTGAAATAATCAAGGATTGCATAACAAGTACGTTGCACAATAAACCGGCACGCGATTCAAATCTAAATATATTTTAAAAGATAACAATCATGGAAATATAATGTAGAAAGTTCATCCTATTCGTAATTGTAGTCATGATATGTCTTTGTATCAAGTTAAACATAAAGGAAGTAATATGCCATTTCTTCATTAGTTCTCATGGCTTATTGTAAAACGGAAGCCCAAATTTGATGCCCTAATTGTCTGGACGTAAATTAAGGTTTAATTCTAAACCAATAAGGTAGTGTGATATACGCAAAGTCATATATCCTGGAATAAATATTGTCTATTACGGTTTCGAAACCCACTGATGATAATAATAATACAATTATGATGAGTGTGATTTCACATAGCCTTTCGTATGTTAGCCTCCACACGGTTGCTGCTAATATTCTATAAATGAGTATTGAAACCAAAATTTCGCCATTTGAGAAGCAGAACCTTTCCCAAAACGTCGATATAGAGATGGAATCTTATGAAAATGTTCAGAGTCAAAATGCATATGAAACCGCTCAGGCTGCTTCGAGACCACATCAAATTCCTAAACAAGGTTAGTGTTTCATTTGATAACTTCAAGTGTAATTTGTAATATTAAGATATCAAGTAAACGATAAAACGAGGAAACGCAAATACGAACAATTTTTATTAGCAAAATTTACAAAAATCTTTCAATAGTGAACAACAAATTTTAGCAATGCCGTGGCAAAATGGAGCAAAATTATTTGAAACGAATGGGACGGGATTCAATGTTTTTGAATTCTTCAAATTATTTTTTTGAGATTTCCATTTCACACGTCAACCACATAACTTTTTTTATAGACAACATTAAGCATGATATTAAGAAAACTTGGTTCGCTGTCGCGATATCTTTGGGAATCTGCTTCTTAGTATCTGTTGCTGCATTTATCCTGATTATGCAAGTTAGTTCCGATATTCCGTGTTTTATTTATTTGTCACTCTGAATTAAAAAAAGTTTAATGTTCCAAATCAGGGGTTCTCAACCTTTTGTTTGTTAAGTACCCCCCGAGTCACGAAACAATCAACGCGAACCCCCAATTATCAGACACCAAACAAAGTTGTGATATATTGACTGACAATTTGCTGCAACGACAATTTATTGACCAACTGCTGTAACTAAATTAAATATTCGTGTTGATGTTATTGGCCTTGTCCTCCACCTAACTAATGAATTTTTGAAATAAGTTTTGATGAGCACATCACTTTCTGCAATGCTCGCAGCACATTGTCTTTTGAGATTTCACAGTTTGGCTGAGAAGCCGCGCATTTCACATTGTGCGTCACAAACACAACAACGCTAGATCAGTGAAAATTAACGCTGAGTTTGAATTGGCATTCCTTTTCATCTGATAGTTAGGCTACTTAGGTAGTTTTCCTTTGTTAAACGATATTGAAAAAAAAAAAAACTTGACTGCCATCCAAGTACCCCTGGAATTCTTTTCGTGAACCCCCGGGGGGTTGGGGAACCCCAGGTTGAGAACCCCTGTTCTACATGGTCAACTCAAATATATATACATTAAACTACTGTTGTAATTCTTCTTTGGTTTTCGTTATTCAAATTTATTCTAAGCTCCAGAACGAGATGGAACATACTAAGGAAAAATTGGACAGAATGAGTGAGATTGATTCATCTCTCGCCAACATTATAAACGACACTCAAAAACGTATGATATGTTGATTTCAGTCGGAACATGCCAATTGTACATGAAGATAAATAATATTTTTCAATTTCAGAACAAGTGGAAACTTTTAAAAAATTGTCAATACTGTTCAGTTCATCCCTCGGGAAGCTTTTGAATGATACACAGAAAAGTAAGTTTATATTATTAATATGTTAATAACTATGCATCGCATTGAAAAGCTGAAAAACGACACTCAAAACGGCAAGTTATTTTGAATTTCCAATGAAATTGCCAAGTGTATGTCAATGAAGTTTGACATTTGTTCTGAAATATATAAATGAGTCGAATTATTTGAAAAATTCAAACGCATTTCAATTCCTGCTTTACAAAAATTTCCAAGAAAACACAAAAACATAAGTTCATATTTTAGATATTTGAATTTTGCCTAGGTTTTTTACTCAACACAGTTCACGAAAGCAAAAACAAAACATAAAATTAAAAAACAGATTATAAATGATAAGAAAAGTTAATCACTTGACACCTCTGACAATTGGTTCATTAGAATCAAAGTAAACTATATTAAAAGTCCGTATAAATATTTACTGAGTGAGATATAAAATGTGCTTTGTCGCCTGGTTGTATGTTTTCAAATTTATTTTCAGCTTCTTCAAGTATAAAAGTTGAATTAAAAAATATGAAGAATGAAGTGAGCCAACTTGACTCCAAAATTTTCATCGGAGATAACAAATTGGTGAGTTTAAGCAACAGGGATCAAATATATTTGTAAATCTCTAATTTACTATCAATTCTAAAAGTATATGAATATTATTTTTGCACAATAAACCTAAAAAAATAAGTTGTTTAGGTTGGATCTAGTTATACAGTAACATGAAAACACACAATATTATTTAGGTTTATTTCAAACTTAGTTTGCTTTACAGACAGCAAACCTGACTGAGGCAAACTCTAAAATTGACAAATTATTGTCCATTATCGGATGGTTCAGAGCGAGCAATAATCTCTTTTACAAACGTTTCATTGATTCTGTCACCTATGCAACTGCAATGGCTCGATGTGAAATATTAGGAGCTCGTTTGGTATCGACTGGAATTAGGAACAACCAAGTCAAAAAGTACGTTAGTTAGTTGCGTTGAAAATATGTATAATCAAAATAGGCTAAATATGTTTGTTTTGTGGACCTATTAATGTAGTATCAAAACAAAAATAGTTTTCTTCGAATACTAAAAAATTACTCCAAAAATTATTAGTAGCTCAAAATGTAATCTTCAGAAAGCTAATATTTTACCTTGAATTTTGTTTTGATAAAACCGTTACCAGTCTTCTTGTCGTGTTGTTTCATCTATCAATCAGTATCTATAGGTTTTTACAGTCTAGATAAAATGTATTGTTAGGAGAAACCAAACATGTACTTGTTGACCTTTAAGTGCTGTTCTTGGTTTTGACACAAAAGTACTTCTATCCACTACACAACAAATGCTTTAAAATATTCAGTGTAAATAGAAAAAGTGCTCACTACAATCTCGTTTTAAATTTGATCACAATCTTTTTGTCACTTTATAGATCTTGTAGCGCTGATTAGTTTTCGCGAGATGTTGAAACGACTATTTTGACACAAGTCGAAATTAATCTTTTTCGATGATAAACGTACCATATGAAGATATAAAGCTATAAAATGAAGCTTTAACTGTCAGTAATTAATAAATCTGGATCTTTTTAGGGAAATATTCCCGGGACATTATCTAACTGGAGCATATGCATGGATTGGATTGGACGACATCAGCAATGAAGGAATTTGGGTTTGGTCGGATGGAGTGAATGATTCACCGAGCTCATGGGGAACGGGAGAACCGAACGGTGATAGAGGAGAAAACTGTGCAGCCATATTATTTTTTAATTCGAAAATTGGCATTGCTGATATGTTATGTTCCCACAACAACCGATTTGTTTGCGAGAAGGAATTTGCATGATGTTTTTAAACAATCGTTTCACAAAAATATTGTTCGATTTAATTTCTCAATGATTGTTTCATATTGGGATCTAACTTATTGTCTTATTGTTATTTGTTGGTAATTTAAATGACACGATTCGATTAAAATTGATATATCTTACGTTTTTGAGTGTCGTTGTCAATGTGTCCAGTTTTTCTCTCATAAGTTTCATCTCGTTCTGGAGCCCAAAATAAATTTATATATATATATATTGCAAATAAATGAAAATGAAAAACAAAAGTGGAAAACAAGCAGTTAATTGTATCATACAATAATTGGTTTAATAAGGTAGTACATAAAGCTAATTTAATTCCAAAATCGAATAAATAAAGAAAATACACGATATCTATACTAACTTGTATAATCAGAACAAATGCAGCAACAGACACTGAGAGGCAGATTCCCAGAGATACAGCGAGTACAAACAAAGTTTTATTCGTAACTTTATTGTTCTCTTTAAAAAAAAAATATATATGTGAAACATCAATAATAGACATGTCGTATAATAAATTACATATGATATTACTCGTGTCATAATTGGTGTGTATGAAGTAATTCAATTTTATGGGGTTTTTTTCCAAAAAAAAAATTACAAAAAATATGAATATGTTTGTGGATGAGGCGGGACAAGTTACGGTGCCTGAATACATGGTTGCACTGCCTGAAAATCTTGCTTAAGTAGAACAGGTGCATTTAGCTGGCGATCCAAATCAGTTGAGACCTGCTATCAGGTCTGTTGCCGCTAGACTAGAGTATACGGCTTAGAAATTCATACCTTGAACGACTCATGGAAACATAACTCCGAATGTGCCAGAATGCGTTACCTCTTCGTTTTCTCTTTAAATGCAAAGCGGGGAGCATACTCTGTTCTGTTTCAATTGTGTTCACATACTGTATCTCGTTTTTCTATTAAAATTTGACAAATTAAATTTTGTGCAAATCAAATAAAACACAAACCTTGTTTAGGAATTGCAGGTGGTCCTGAAGCCGTCTGAGGGGTTTCATATTCATTTTCCCTTTGACAGTTTGCGTAATATTCTATCTCCATATTAACGATTTATAAAATGTTACGCTTCTCAAATGCAAAGTCCGTTAACCGTTTTATAGATAATTAGCACCTAACATTATTTAATCAGCTAACATTTCACGTCAAATGAAATCATTATCAATGTTATTTCAATATTATCATTATCAGTGGGCGGCAGAACCCTTATGACACAAAACAACATACCCTCGGTTATGTGACAGGGCAAACGTCATACTACATTATCTAGTTTTAAATATACGTCAAGATGTATTCTCGATTATATAAATACCAGATAAATAACACAACATCACTATAATCTTTATGATATAATCATTAATTAGGTTGTAAAAAAACATATGCTACGGACATAGAATTCCGGCTTTGATGAAATTTATTTGAAGGAAAAGACGTAATGATAACATTTAAAAAATCACTTTTTTGCCACTTCGTCGCAAAACATCGGAATTGTTTTATTGAGCATTGCAAACCAATTATTAATTTGAGGTGTCAGTCGAGGCTGTGTAAAGCTAAATAGCAATCTGGCAGAAGATGATTTTAATAATTTTGTTAATCCTAAATAACTTAGTAGCTCAGAAATATTTAATAATTTTACTAGCCGGAGCATGAAATACAAAATATTTCCTAATCAATTTGATTGAAATATGATCGACGTATAGTAAATCAATTGAGATTTTCATATCAAGTCCGTCACATTGTCAATCCACACACGTCTAGATGTAAACATATTTTATGAGCAATATAATTAAAAAGCTATGATACTTTTATTTGTATCATGATATACGTAAGACAAGCATTGCCCATTTAAAAACATGTCTTGGCTCGACTATCAAGGAAGTAATATATATGTCACATATTCGGTAAATAGTTCTTATGGCTTAACGCAAAATAGATGTTTCATCTCTCACTTTTGTTTCTTTGATGATATGGATTACATATGAAATTCATCATATTGCTGGCCACCTGCAGTTCATAAACAAGGTTTGTGTTATATTTGATAAACTTAATTTCTAATTTGTAATATTAAAAGAGAAAATAAAAAATAGACTAAAGGGTTAAACAGGCATGGTGATACTTCTCCGGTTATTAAAAATACAAATATCAGATATTTTCCATATGAAATCAGCTATTTTACAGCACCAAATGTTAATTGTCTTATTTTTACGTAGGATAAGAAATGATTAATTTTTTCACCTCAATAAATTTCTTTTGTGAAATTCGTTTCATCCACGTTTTCTTTTCAACAGGCAACAAGGAGAGTAACTACGACCAAAAGAACTTTGTTTGTTCTAGCGATATCGTTTGGAATATAATTCATTGTGTCTGTTGCTTCATTTATTCTGATTATGCAAATTAGTACGATAAAATCAAATATATATAATAGTACAAAAACAGTTTGTTTTTGTTTTTTGCATCTATCCATTTATTTGCATCCAAAACGAGATGAAATATACGAAGGAAAAATTAGAGAAAGTGAGGGAGACTGATTCATCTCTCGCCAACAATATCACTTAAAAACGCAACACTTAAAAACGTAAGATCTTTTTAATTTCATTTTAAACGTGTCAATTGTAGATGATCAGAGTTAAACTTTTAATTAAATTCTTAATAACAAGTGGAAACATTTGAAAAACTGGAAACGAATGTCATGTCTTCCCTCACAAAGATTTCAAATGAAACACAAGAAAGTGAGTTGATATTATAAATATTTCAAACTGTGCATCATTTATTCGCTTCAACTGATTGAACACAGATTCCAAAAATAGAGCAATAAATATAATTGAAAGAAAATAAATTCAATGGGGTAAGTGGTTTAAATAATTTCACAGGCGCTCGTAGCAACAGACGCAAATAAATACGGCATGTTATGCTAAAAAATCTTAGCAGAAAATCTTTTTGCATGAGGTCAGATCGAGAAATCTTATGTTTTTGTTATTGGTTGCATAATTTAGGTTTTTGAGTAAATCAGAAACTTCAATTAGAAAAGAAGTGAGTGAACTTCACTCCAAAATACACAACGAAGATAATAAATTGGTGAGTTCATGACTCATAACTTAGCATGCTTTGTTATGAAAATGAATTGACTTATTACCACCAGGAAACATTAATTTTACTCAATTTATATGTGTTACGTTTTATCAATAACTACGTTTATTACTGAAGAGTTATGAATTTCATTTTTGTACTCAAGAAATGTTTAAATACCGACATTCTGAATGAAACTTTAAAAAAATTGTTGCTTATAATTATTTTTATTTTATAGTTGCACAATTGAGGGAAAAAGATCCTAGTATTATTCATATATAATTTTATTTGATGGAATGAAAGCCTACCTGAATCTGATACAAAATTGAGAATGAAGAAAATGTTTTCAATATCCGGAAGGTTCAGAGCAATCAATAATCTAATTTACAAACGTTTCACTGATTCTGTCAACTACGCAACTGCAAAAGCTTAATGTGAAGGAATGGGAGCTGGTTTGGTCCCAACTGGGATGAGGAAAAACCAAGTGAAAAAGTAAGTTTGATGTATGCGTTATTATGCAATTTTTGAAAAAGATAAATATGATTATTTTGCGTACTTATACATACATGTAGTTTTGAGTAAGATATAGTTTTGCTTAAATGCCGAAAAAATAGATTTAAAATTTATAACACCTCAAAAAGTAAATATTTTCAGAAAGCTAATATTTGATTTTAATTTGTTTTGTTAAAAATGTCAGTAATATTTTTGGCGCTTACTTTCAGTTATTTATCAGTATGTGCAGGTTTTTTACGGTAAAAGTAAGCTGAAAAAAGATGTACCTGGACTTGACGCTTAAATCCTGTTGTTGGCATTAGCACACAAACTATTTCTTTCCACTGGATAACAAATGCTTTGAAATATTCAGCTCTACCACAACCTCATTTTCAAATTGTTCAAATTTTCCTTGTTATTTGTCATTTTGTAGCTCGCTGTTTTCTCAACAAATTTTGCTTATTAGTTATTGCGAGATAAAGAATCGCGTACATTAACACAAGTCGAAATTAATCTTCTATAGGG